AAAAATCTAAGAAGTTATATGACAACCTACAGCAAAAGAGTCCAGGAACCAGTGGTCAGTTCATGGCAAGTAGGGGCTGGTTCAAAAAATTTTAAAGGCAAACAGGCATTCACTCTGTAATTAGGCATGGCGAGGCTTCAAGCTCAAATGCAGAAGGTGCTAAACAGTTTGTTGAATATTTCAGAAAGTATGTATACACTGGGGGATTTAGTCCTCAACAAGTTTTTAATTGTGATGAGACAGGCCTATTTTGGAAGAAGTGTAAAGTACTAAGTTATTTTGTTTTGTTTTACACCTTTTAAAACGATTATCGACGTGACTGTGTGCCGGAAATAGCCGTTACCTAATGGATACTTTATGCGGATTTGCGTTAATGTGCCAGGCCTGGACTTTAAGTGTGCACCAAAAGAAATAATGACAAAGTTAGTCAAAACCAATCCAATATTTAATAATTCTAATAATGACTATGTACAAAAATTAGTAACAATCAAACAACAAATTTATTCAAAGAAAATTAATAAGAATCAACCCGACAAAACTCAAATCAATCTATTTGCTAACTTAAATCTATTCCCCTTTGGAATTCGACAAACAAAATTCAAATACTTAACTTATGTACAACAATTCTTATGAACTAAGGTCATAATCGTTACCTCAATATACTAGGAACCTTTTTCCTCAACTCTCAAGACTTTCTAATCTTCAATCCACAAATCGAATAAATTCAAATTGCCTTGGAACCACTTTATTGCTATTGGACACCTCTTGTCGTTTGCTGCTACGAAGCTCACCATGCTTGTTGCTAACAGAAGCTCACTTCAGTCATCTTCACTTGAGGTTCGGACTTTATACTATGAGGTGACGTCACAATTCTGATTGAGATCACTCCCCTCATTTACATACTTATCACTAACAGTAAACTTTTCCTTTCTGCCTGGCAGCCTATTTCCTGACAATACTCACTAACCTTTTACATTATTCTTTTTGACAATTTTCAGGATGTTTTATTCTTTAAGGTTTAGCAAGTTCCTAAGTTGTGCTTGTGGGGTCTCCCCCTCTTTTTTGGCGCGGACTTACTTTTTTCCGCTCGGGAGTGCAAATGTGCGCGAGTTTTTCTACGGCGCTTTTTTTTGTCAGTGAGTTGGTTCTCTTTCTTCTATTTTTAAGTTCCTAAGGTGAGTGGTGAGAAAACCTTCATCCCAACAAAACAAGCCCCAAACAAAAATATAAAAAGCAANATATCATCACACATTTTATTTTAACAAGTAAGTTTTTATAATTTTATTTTTAATTTTAGCCCTTATATTATGGCTAGCAATTTAGAATGTAATTGTGATATTGAAAACTTATTTCAAAAAGTTTTGGCTCGAGACCATATAATGAAAAAGAAAAAATCTGTTTGACATTTTCATGATAAAATTTATGAAGATATAAAATGGCTTTGTGGATGCATAAAAATGCAGAATTTGTTTTGTTGTCCTTGCCTACTATTTTCAAATAAAATTAGTGTGTAGAATGAGATTGGCTTTGACGATTTAAATAATTTGAGTAAAGCTGGCAAAAGACACGAAAATCCTAAATCTCGCATCGATTCTTTCGTAAAATTGAAGCAATTTGGAAATCAAAATAGAATAGAATTTAACATTAGTACACAATATAAAATATATATTGAAAATTATAACAAGATAGTTACGGCTAATAGATATATTTTAATTAGTAGATGTTATCGAAGCGAGAATTGGCATTTAGAGGGCGTATAGAATCTATTAAATCTAATATAAGAGAGTTAATTATATTGAACTTGCTTATTTATTAAGTGCGTTAGATAATCTATTAATTAAAAATACATTTAGAGAAGTCTACGGTTTTTACTGGCTTATCGAACAAACGAATACGAATGGACCCTAGACCATCACTGACTGATTGCCTCTGGAAGTCGGCTTCTTATAGAAACACAGCTTCCCTATCATCAAATGTCACGGCACGCCACTGCCAAAATCCCGGGATTAGAAATAAGGACCAGGATCGAATTCCCTAAAGGCAACTCACCACAGAACTGTTGGAGCTGGTACCCAAAAGTGGTACCCAAATGTTGATATAGTGAACCAAAATACAAATGCATTCAATGATAATGTAATTGCCTACTTCAGAAAGGTTTTAAAAAGCAGACAAAAACAGACAACACTGAATAAGTTCTTTATTAAATCAAGTGCTACTGAATCATCAGCAAAACAGACCCCATAATCATAATTGGAATTACCTAATGTTTTAATTGATGGTATGTCTTCTTCTAAACAATAATAAACTTACTCTTCTTCCTTTCTACCACTATACTGTATTTATTTAGTACATTTCAAAAAACTGGGTACTTAATTATATAACACTCGCCAAATAAACCATCACCAGTTCATAACCAACCAGAAAAATTCTTTCTACAAACGTTTTCATCTATATGTAACAGACATCCTCAGGTATTGATGATATCGAACTAATGGCTAGCTAGTTCGATATCATCAATACCTGAGGATGTCTGTTTCATATAGATGAAAACATTCATAGAAAGAATTTTTCTGGTTGTTTATTTAGTACATTAAAGTTTTACAAACAACATAATTTTTATTGTTGTATCATAATCCAGCAGAAAAATTCTTTTTACGAACGTTTTCGTCTATATGTAATAGACATCCTCAGGTATTGATGATATCGAACTAATGGCTAGCTAGTTCGATATCATCAATACCTGAGGATGTCTGTTTCATATAGATGAAAACATTCGTAGAAAGAATTTTTCTGGTTGTTTATTTAGTACATTAAAGTTTTACAAACAACATAATTTTTATTCTTGTACCTTTTTTTTAGGATGGAATGGATTAATTGAATATCAGTTATTTATTATGAGAAAAATTGTTTCTATATTCGTCATATTCTATATTCGTTAGATCCTTAGGAACAGATTAATGACAAATATAGAAGTTCCATTGTATTAAATAAATCACAAAATTTCCTTACAGATACTTTAATTTATAGATAAATAAATGGAAAGGGTGCAGACAATTGAGCTGCTCACTTTCCAAATTGATTAACTCCACAAAACAAAAAGTATAAAACTTGATAATATAAATTATTTTTTAAAATTTCTTTTAAACTTTAAATTTAAATAAACATTGCAGAATATATTTTTATATTAATATAATGATATTATATATTATGTTATATATTATAATTATATATAATATATAAAATATATTATATAAAATTAGTTGTGTGAAAAATTTGAAAATACTGTAATAATGATTATATTAAGGATTTACAAATGGAGTTAATCCATTTGGCCTGTGAATGGCTCAATTAATACTAACTGTATTTTGGAATCATTAATCATTCCACAATGGAAACACTATACAAGACTGTTGAATCAATTATTTAAAAAATTTAAGATACAGTTGAAATTTGATATAGTTTATTAAATTTATAATAAAATCTAGCTGTGATTTTACAAGTATTGTGATTTATACTGTAAATATATATACTATGTTTTCATGTAATGACAGAATGCACGTCTATCCGAGGAAACCACAAAATCAGACATTTTTGTATGATAAAAACCAACATAAATGAAATTAAACCTATAAATAATTGCCAAAAATTCTCAATCCTAAGCATTTTTGAGGGGAAAAAACCACTTTTAAGTTATTGGATTTATATGCTTTGATGCAAATATGTTTGTAAGAATGAGAGGTGTAGTAGTAATGTTTTGGTCTAAGAATTCATATTTCATGGCTGTTCTGGGATATGAATTTAAATTTCAATTTTTTTTTTTTTTTTTTTTAATTTTGAAGAAAGGTAAGTAGCATTTTTCCAGGATGAAAATGATATTTAAAAAAAAAATTGTGGTTTGAAGCCAGTAAGCCATGGGATACAGACTCATGGGCTGAAACATACCATATTTTTGCAGAATGATTGGCATGTCGTCATCTTCCTTTCCACCTTGTCCAATCACATGGAACAAAAATAGTGTTTCTCTGCAGAGATGACCTTTTATTACAGACTACATCTCTGCAAAATTATGTAAAACAAAAGCAATTTTGCAGAGGCATAGCCTTTTTTATAAAAGGTTGTCTCTGCAAAAAAAAATTGTTTTTGTTCCTAGTGATTGGACATGATGGAAAGGAAGACAACTTAGTTTCTTCAGATTTTTTATTTTTTAATTCATGGAAATATTGTGTTAAATATTCTTACTCAAATTTAATCACATAATTATGTAAACCTTGTTAAAGGGCAAAAGAGAAAGGATAAACATGCATGATCTAAAAAATGTTAGCCTCATCCAAAATATTCTAAACCAAGATTAATAAATTAAAATAAAGTTACAGATATTAATGATCTTTTTTTGAAATATATAACCCTCATTCACCATTTAGTCTTATTTCTCAAAGTAGCACTGAGGAAAATGAAAAAGAGAGTTAGATAAATGATGAAGATCCCTCTGGCATTTTTGACTATGTATAGTATGAGTAATAATTAAATCAAATACTAAAACTTGTACAATATTGTTATGATTAAATAATGTTTTATTACATTTATAAAGTCCAACATTTATTTAAATAACTTCGTTCACTTATGTGCAAACAGATTTTCAGTACAACAATGGTCTAACCAAGAAAGACTATTGCAATACCTTCATAAAAATCATATCTCTAAATCTAAATAACAATAGACTACGTAACATTGTAGTTAAGTTTAAAAAGAATCACATAGTACACCACCATCAATAAAATGTTATTTTTTAAATTCCAAGAAAAACCATAAATGTAAAACTTTAACAAACTGTTTCTCTTTCTTTGTGTTTTTTTAAAAGTGGTTTAGACCATTGTTGTGCTGACCCCTCAATTATATTTAATGAGAAAGCATATATTCAATCTAGTTGAGTTTTAATGCTTTGAAAATCTTAGTGATATTATTTTAGAATATAAGAATTTATAAATTTTAAATTTTTTTAGGTTACCTACTGATGTACAAGCAGAAGCAGTTCCTTTAATACTTGGAGGTGGAGATGTTTTGATGGTAAGCTGCATTAAATTTAAAAGATGTGTTATTAATAATAATAATAATAAACTTATTGAATTAAAATTTATCATTGAATTTCTAAAAGGTTTCAGATTATACTTGCAGCTGTTAAGAGATTTTTAAATTATTATTACTTTATTATTAATTTTTTAAATTAAATTAAATTTAAATACTCCATACATAAGTTAATTTTTAGGAGGCGAGGGTAACATATTTGATAATATTAATTAGTAAATTAAACAAGTACAAATAGCTAATGAACTTAAGTCCATATATAAATTTTTCCATACTAAACGGTTTTTGTTTAATCAACTCTGAACAATTGTTTTCTTTACCATAAACAGCAGTTGATGGTAATAAATATAAAGACACCAACAATTATCTAGTATTTTCAAATACCATGTGTGGTATTTGGTCTTAAGTATCCTGTCTCTTTCTTCTCTAAAGAAAAGATTTTCAAACTCACATAGGATAGTGTTTAATATTTTTATAACATCTGGAGATGAGTCAATTAGAGAAAGTGAAACACCTGTTCCTGTCTGTCCAGTTTAGTATACCAACAATTTTTTAATAGTCTATTTGATGACAGTTTTTTCACAGTAGAGTATGCCACATATTTCAAAGAGGAAGAATCAGAAATAATGTTATAAGTAAATCGGCATAGAAGATAACACTACTGTGTTGTCTGCAAATTGTAAATGCACACTGTATTTGCCCATAGAGATGGAGTCATCAAAAGCGTAAACCCTATCATTAACATAGCAAATAAGGAACTAAGTGAATCTCCTTGTGGTAAGCCCTTCTCTAACAGAAAAACCTTAGTTAATCCAATACTAGTAGAAATCCTTGCCTTCAAACCTGAGAATAAATTTTGGATAATCTTGATAAATTTACCGGACATCCCAAGCTTTCCTAATTTAGAAACTAGATTAGGAATGCCTTAAAAAAAAAAAAAAAGAACCTCTATTATAACTCTGTCGAAAGCTTTTTCATAATCTTTGAAAGCAGCCAACAGACACTGTCTTTTCTTATAAAGTTCAGGAAATGAAGGATTAGAATATTACACAAAGTGCTCTTTTGAGGTTTGAAAGAAAATTGCACAGGTGAAATAAGATTCCTCTCCCTAAGTCATGTACAGTACCTAGTCTTTTCCCCATAATGGAAGTGAAAATTTTCTGAATAACTGGTAACAATGATATGGGCCGAAAGTTAACAGGAAAGTTAACCCTTTTTGTGAATTACCTCTAACCATGATTTCGGAATCATTTCAGAGTCATAAACCCGATTAAACAATTTAACCAAGTGAGGTACTAATGAACTCCTAGAATAAGCAATTAGAGACTGTGAAATATTGTCTACCCAGGGGCAGAATGTAATTGCATCTTTTGGATTGCAATATTAACTTCTGAGGCTGAGATAGGGAGGTCCAAAAAAGAATCATCCACAGGAAAAGGTTGGATTTGGAGTAAATTTGATACATTTAAACTGAATAACTACTCATAATAATTATACTAATCTGCCAAAGAAATCTCTGGAGTACTCCTAACTCCCTGAAGACAACCTACATGATACCAAAGTTCTGGAGTCTCTAAACTTTACCAGTTGTAAGGCAAAATTACAATAATACAGTGGAACCCCGGTTAACGAACGTCCTGGTTAACGACCAAATCGGTTAACGAACTTTTATTTTGGAAAAATTTTGTCTCGGATAACGAACTTAACAGCTTTTTGTGTCAAATTTGTAAGCTTGCCGACTTTTAGGGAAAATCAGTTAATCGTGTGTCGGTGATAGTCTAGAGTCCATTCGTACGTTGGTGTGGCAGAGGAGACAAAGATGACAAGTATTTTACAGTGAAAATCGTTTATTAGAACGGGAAGATGCTTACATATTTGAGGTAGTTGGAATTGGCTTATCTACAGTATTTTCTCTCGGCACTGCGGAGTGGCATATCGCTGGTCCTACGATAGTGCAAGCTGATCAGTCGTAGCCCTAGAGCGGACGAGATGGGTTCGCTTGATCACAGAAGCGATGGCAGGTGACAGAGCTGCAACAACTGGAGCGGTCCGCGAGACACAACACAAATTTTAGCGGGCACGACTTCAGTCTTAATCCAGATGAAGACGACACAGATTAATTGCCATAGAATTTTTAGGAAAACTGCGTTTTGACCTTGAGATTCGGGGTTTTTATAGTATTTCTTCCTTGAATCTCACCTTACGATTAGTCCTGTGTCCCATTCCTCAATTCCCGATTGTTTTCTTCTTTGTCTTCAGGAGAAAACCGAAACTAGATCAGGTCACGAGAAAGGTTTGTTCCGAAGCGTTTATTTGACACCTGTTCGTCAACTCTGATCAGAGATTGTTGATAAACCTATAAGCCTTTCGCTCATAATTTAGCCTATTGTTTCTGCTATCTGTCATTTTAGAACTTTAACGATCGTATGTGATGTTTTTATACCCGTCAAATCTTTCCCCTTTTCCGAAAATTTAACTTAGATCGACTGTTTATGAGCACGTTTTCCTATATTTTCATTAAAGAAAACCCATTTTACAAATAAAATTACAAAAATACTGACGTCTAGAATGGATTAATTATATTTGCGTTAATTTCTATGGGAAAAATTGCTTCGGTTAACGAACAGACTCGTGGAACAGATTACGTTCGTTAACCGGGGTTCCACTGTACTTTTTCTTTTTCGCCCTGATAAATGAATTATCATATTTACTCGCATATGAGGTTTTTATTCATTTTTTGCTGCTTCAAAAACCAAGGTCATCCTATACATGTGGACAAAGGATTCTTTGCGTTTTTGCAATAATTTTTGTGAACAAGTGTATTTGCATTTTTTTTTACCCAGTGCTCACCTCCCTGGTGTTTAAAAACAAAAGTATTTTATCTGGGTCATTTGAATCATTCTTTGTGTATTGTCAGGAGTAAAGATGAATAGCAAAAGAAAAAGCAAAGGTTTTGAATTGAATTCCAAATTGAAATTCCAAAATCACACGGAAACTCGATATAAGTTTTAATCCATTCCCATATGAAAATAGATGATTATTCAGAAATCAGAATATAAAAACCACAAAATAAACTGGAATGATTTATAGGTTGTCACCTAAATGTCAAATTTCCAGTAAAACATCCAAATTCAACATTCAAACGTTTTTGGCCACTCGTTAATAGTCCTTCATCAGGAAAAGTCAAAACAAAAATAACTGTTCTAATTTCATTTTGACTTTTCCTGATGAGTGGCTGAAAATGTTCGAATGTTGAATTTGGGTGTTTTGCTGGAAATTTGACATTTAGGTGAGAGAGTATGGAAATCAGAATCCGGAGAAACTCATAAGTGTAATCAACGAAGAGTAGATTCAACTGTTAAGAATTGGCAAAAAAGTTTTCCAATTGTCCAGCTTTACATGAACAAAGTATGTTGTCGATTTTACAAGATTTTTCCTTAAAGTTTAAAATGTCAGTAGTTTTTATGGTATAATGTGTGCATTTTATGTGCATTTGATATTTTGTGTGTGATTAAACAAAATAAAATTAGAATTGTATTAATAAAGCTAATTTCTTTATTTTGATCTTTAAAGTCATACCTTGTCCTATATGTGAGATCATCTTATACATGAGTAAATACAGTATATTCTTTTTTTGAATTAAGAAAAAAATTAAGGTCAGTCTGATTGTTTGATCTACAAAATTGCTAAGGGCATAATTCCTCTCCACCTTCCATTTATAACATGACTCGTCAAACTAAGGGGCACGAATACAGGAACCTATGGTATTCAACACCTTCAGTTAATATATTGAGCCTCTTTGTTATAGAATATAAATTGGATATAATTGAGTTTTAAAAATCATTGAGTTAAAATTCAGAATTTTTATTCTGAAATCACATCTTAAGTGCATCTTCGAACATTTCAACTTTTGAGTCATTCTAAACAAAACGGGACCTAGTAAAAGGGGATCTTTCAACCAAAGGAAGTCTCTTACCAGTAGATAAATACAGTCCACTAAAAAATGGTTAGAGAATGGAAGAGATTCAACACAGAAGGACAAAATTTAGTCCCTGCAGTAGTCCTTACTGCAGGGACTAAATTTTGAGAGATGAAGATGACCATATAGTTAATAACAAAGCTACCTACTTTCAACAGAAAAGTTAATTCTCCTGGGTAGTCTCCCATACTTTGATCATTAAGAAGAATTAGATCTTGTTCAATCAGACACTGCAAAAACTGTCTACCAGTTGAATCAATTTTTAAGTCCTTTGACTGTCTAACATCAAAAATGTTTGGTCATGCCACATTCAAGTATCAATCAAATTCTTCACCTATATGGACATTGAAATCATCCATAATTCAACATCATAATGCGAAGACCAAGAGGTCAAAACAGAAGAAAATCGATCAAGGTGTAAGTCTTGCTGCTTTGACAAACAAATGTATGTCACCAACATCAAAACTTTCCTAGGATCATAAATAAGGATTCAAAAAATAAGATAGTCTTATTTCTGTTAGTCGGCGTAAGTCTCTAATAACTCAAAATGCCCTCTGTCCCCGTCAAAGAACAAAATACTGCCTTGGGGCCCACCAGGATCTGATGGCTTTTCAGCTGGAACCATAAAATACTTCCAATTAACTGGTAGAGAATTACATATAAAACTCTGGTCCATCAAAACCATCAAAGTTTCAACAAGGACTAAACAAATTATATCTAGTCTGTTAGTCAAATGATTTAATAACAAACATTTAGTACCAAAACCATGAGAATTCCAAAAGAACATGGAATCCAAATGACAGTCTGATCCAGCATGTTCCAGACATGAAGATGTTGAGGTTCTCTCAGAACTCTTTCTCAAGTGAAAAGGGAAATTCAAAATAAAAAGAAGCAGTAATTTCTATTAATCAATATCCCAAAAATAGAATAAGCATACCTCTTTTCATTGATGTGCAACACATTGTCACACAAAGACATCATGGTTAATTAAACATCAAATTGC